CGCGGAAAAACAAATAACAACTTTGTTTCTTACTAAAAATATTTTAATCTATTTTACTATCGCGCTCAATCATGAAACATTAATTTCAATAATTGGTAAGGGGCGTCGGTGGCCGCAACGGTTTAGTCGTTGACACGGCGCTCATCTCTGTAAGGTAAAGGTCCCGGGTTCGAATCCAGCGGCCCTGCATTCGAATCCGACATAGTTACAAATGGGCTTTTTTCAAAAACACCGGCACCCAGAAAACAAAAAACAAATCAAGATTTGTTAATCAGAAAAATGAGATTAAATTGTATTACTTTTTACTGAAATCGTAACTTTGTTTTATATCAAACGTTTGGTAAATCCGTTCAATAATAATTGTTTGTTTATTTAAAAACATCGTGAGGGACCTCCCATTTTTGAACGCCGGTCAATTTTTATTGGGCCACCGAAAGAAAAAATTCCAAATGAGACTTGGGATCGAACACACAACCGCGGGATCTACTAGCCTAGATAACCACTCGGTTATCGCGATCCTTCCAGAAGCGAAATTGGACGAGCCACAAAAACTCGGAAACATACTGCTAATAGCATGTATTATATTTAAATTTTTTACTTTGTGGTGTTTTTTACTGGTTCCATCTATTCTCGCTAGTTTCTTACTTGTCACTCTTAAGAGTTTCAGTTCCACACTATCTCCACAAGCAATGGAGATACTGCCATTCAAGAGAGTGGAATAGAGTCTATCATTTCAACATAAAAAAGAAATTCTTAAAAAGTTCGTTCATCGCATTTCGTATTTTTTTTCACCCAAAATTCAAATAATCGTTTACAATATGAAACCGGGGGGCGTCGGTGGCCGCAACGGTTTACTCGTTGACACGGAGCTCATCACTGTAAGGTAAAGGTCCCAGGTTCGAATCCAGCAGCCCTGTATTCGAACCCGACATACTTATAAATGAGCTTTTTTTCAAAAATACCGGTAGGTTTTATATGACCTCTGCTGTTGCGAACCCTCATTAAAGTTTAAAAAAAAAGACATCCAATAATGTACGATTATCAAATATACTTGAACAGAAATTTGTACCTGTTAATATTGAATTAAAATATTTGCCCAAAATGGATTTATCCCTAATCATACAATAGAGTGAAAGTGTGTTTGCATCTAAGAGGTAATCTCGAAATCTACTGGATCAATTTTGATTAATTTGTTTACGTGTTCCTTATGATCATAAGAATGACATAGACATAGTTTTTAAGTGAGATGAATCTACCAATTTTCTATTCACGATTACTCTGGACCAACTTCAATTTCAACTCAGTTCTTGACAATGTTGGGTCTATGTCGGTCTTCAAAGAAATCTGAAATCGTCAGTGAAAAACTTAATTATGTCATATGTGTAGGCATATTAAAGTTGTTTTGTCCTAAATGATGCCGATCTTAAAATAGGTCGAAAGCATGGCAGTAACAACAATTTGCTTTTTTAACCATAACCGCCAGGCCATCCAGGGTCTAACTATGTGAGACATAGTTTTGTCATGTTAGTACTGTAGCATCCAGTCATCATCAAAGATATGAAATTTTCTATGTTACTGTACATATCGCAATGCAAAGCGTTAAAAAAAAAAATTGGTAGCTTATGTAGATATGATCCGACCGCGATTGGTACCTATTAGAATTAAATGTTAATTAATTCCTATTTTTGTATTTAGTTATTTATTTATATCATTTTTTATTTTAAAATTATACAAGACTGCTAGCCAGCTACTCGTAATGTATTATTGACTTTTCTTCGTAGAAAATGGGAGGAAGAAGTAGATTCCAATTTATTTACTAAACGATGAAAGAAATTATTTACTATTTTTTTTATCTGTTTATTAGCTAATGGACAAAAATTGTCTGGGCACATTTCTTCTATTTAAATTATAAAAATTCACTTTGTAAGTACTATAATAACGAAAATTACGAAATACAACATTTAATAAATGTTTTTGGAATTGATTACTCTTACATGATATTCACATTGGAGATTATTATGTTCACTATTTGTTGTGGGGAAAATAATTCATACAAATGACAGCTGTTATTATCCACGGTGGTTAGGGGGAGAAAAAAGATAAGAAGTTTCTCTATTTCAATATTATATATATCTATCGTGACAAGGGTCGGCATTATATCCTGTTTTGTGGTGCAGTGAATCACAATCCTCTTGAAAATCCCAATTTCAGAGCCTTTCCCTCTCTCACCCCAAACCAGAAAGGCGATAAATTCGTGAATGAGGGGCAGTTAGTGAGGGGCTGGCGAAGGGCAAGAATGGCATACACCGATAAGACACCGCCTTCCTTTCGGCCAGGTTTCGGAAAATGTATAAATCGGTCCCAGTGTTGGACGTAAAGGAAATGTGGAGATGGCTATCATATTTCTTAGTGAAGTATATATGGGGAAAAGAAAGGGAAGACTGACTCCCGTAAACCTCGACCTTTTTCTTTATCACCAACCCACGACCGGACACGTACCCCTTTGGGCGTTTTCTTGACAATGTATCAGTGTAACATTCTTCTTTTTTCAGTCTTATTAATTTAGAAGTTCTTTGTAGATCTTACATTGTGCTATTATTAAAATTACTAATTTTTCCAAAAAAGTTTATGACAATCTAGTGTCTACGTTCATTCAACTAGACATGATTTAATGCTGTTTAACTCTTAAAATTTGAAATATTTTTTACGTTTTATTCCTTACGAGGAAGTGATGTGGATTTAAATCGAGTTGAAAGTTTGAAAAACTTCCATATTTGCCTTCTCAAAATACGCTTCATTGGAAGTTACCAAGAATAAATTGCCTGGAGAATTTAGTAAATATTAAATCACTTCTAAATTCTAATGTGAATAAGACTGAACTACTGTTTTATTTTTATACACCTTATTGAACAAAGAGTAAGTATTAATATCTTAAAGCTGGTGGTGTTGGTGGTTCTGCGAGTGGATGAACCGTTTGACAGTGATCACTTTAATGGGTCCGCCTATTCTCGCTGGCTGAAGTTTCACTCGTACAAATTTCTTCACGCCTCCAATGAAAAACTGATGCCGAAACTTGTACGAGTGAAACTTTTACCAGCGAGAATAGGCGGACCTAGAAATGTCATCACTGATCAGTGTCGCTCAGCTCAACAATCGATAACTTTCGACCATTTTTACTTCTAATTCGTCAAGTCATAACCTGAAATTTGTTGACTTACTTGAGTTCGCGTAAGGGGCAGACGTTAACACTATTTTCCTTCTTAACCTTCCTCATTTTTGTTTCCTACACTATTTTCTAATTATTGACAACGAGTGGCACATTTTTCAACAGACAATTACCACGAGATCATAGTCGTAAATTAAATAGAAATTGTATTATTAACGCATACTATTCGCACTTTACGCGTTCAGCTTCAAAAATTATTAAAGAATTGCAAATACAAAAAAAAGATTATTAATGGAAATTACCGTTCTCAAGAATCAATGTACTCAAGATAACTTGACACAAGTCGTTAACTGAATATAAATTTCGAAATTATTAATTCCAATAATAAATCTTGTGCATAATACAATACAAAACTGTTTTAATATAGTAACAGAAGATTACCCATATTTAACATCTTCAGTATTGAAATATATAATATTTTGACGCGATAATTAAACGTAAAGTTTGTAAAGCTGTGTTCATGGTCGTGTTTATTAAAGCCTACTTTGTTTTTCTAAAGGCTGTCTAGCTGATAATAAGAAGAGCAGGTACAGAGATGGCTTTGTTGTCCCAATGATAACTCTATCGGTTTCTTTCTGATCACTCCGGAGTGTCAATCCGAAATCTATCTCTGACAACGTAAACTGTTTATCTCCGTATCGTAAATAAACTCGTGATTAGACACAACATGTTTCAGGTTTCTTAGAATGTAAACAATGGATTTTTTTAGGTATAGGTGTTTAGAAGAAGATAAAAAGTATATGTATATATATATATATATATATATATATATATATATATGTATTGTTGTCCGTTTTAATAAATAAAAGAAACTACTTAACTTAAATATTATCCGTAAAAATTGATTGGGTCTGATCTAGTTTTTGGTTTCAGAATTCACTGAGTCGAATTTAGATTAAATTGGCGAAGTTAAATGTTTAGATGAACTAATATAAAACAAAAAATTATCTAGATCACAAGTTTAATCTAGCTAAGGAGATTATCATAGTTGCTTTTCATAAAACATTATCAAATTATTGAAATTTTTATATGATTAACATAAAAGTAGAAGTTTACCGTTTTTCTCGTGTAGAAATGTGTGGTGATTAGTGACCGTTAGTCGATGATTACTCGGAAATCGTGAGATGCGGTCTGGTGTGATGTAGGTTTCAGAAAAACAGTTTCTTTATCGTGCCAACGTTTCGATCTTTATTGAGATCAACTTCAGTAGTATTAATACTTCCCCACCCTCTTCAAAATCCACCGTATATAAACATAAAACAGCAATATCTCACTGGCACCCTCAACACGACACGCAAGAATGGCACAATTACACAGAAAACAAACACTATGAGTGAGTAGAAATACTTTGGTTTGATATAAAAAATATTTTTGGCATTGTATAAATTCACTTTTTCCACGTCCTACACGTATTTGTTAAATTTAAACAATGTTTGTAAATCCCAGGCCCTGAAGATGATCTCAATAAAGATCGAAACGTTGGCACGATATAGAAAATGTTTTTTGAAACCTACATCACACCAGACTGCATCTCACGGTTTCTGAATAATTGTGGAAGTTTACTTTCAAAGATTAAATTACAGAAAGGCAATAGAAAACATCAGATACTGAAATTAAACGATGATCACACAGAAATGCACTTTACCTTCTAGTCCAGAAAATATTACTGGCTCAGTAATGATTAATTAGCTGGAGACATCTGCCAGCACGAAACCAAAGGGGTAGTAAAAGAAATCGTTGCGCAACAAAAATTTATTAACAAATTTATCAAAATCGATAAATAAACTAACACAAGATTCAAAGTTGAGAAACAATTTATTTTTATTTTTGATCAATTTTATCTTTATGTACACACCCAAATAGTTAAATAACTGTAACAATATGCATCTCGAAATGTACAATAATCGTAAAATAAAATGTAAGTCAAAATCACTGGGCTTACAACTCGGATTGCACAACATCCCGGGTTTTTTATTTGTTAAATAAGTCAAACTTTTCCCCCTAATTGATTAGTCCACAGTTGGGGGGGATTCGGAAGCACCTGGGCTTATCTGTGGGGGCGGCATAGGCGGAGGGCTGCTCCACCAGGGCCACATTCTCTGTCCCAGCCCAACCCCTTCGGGAAGGACTGGGAGTGGTCTTCATATAACGTGTTGGGGCGAATACCTCTCCAGGGGCTTGGGAGCGACGTGTTCCTGGGGGCTGGAAGGCGGCGCCGGCTCGATCGGCGGCCCGCAGCCGCAAGGGGTCGACCAGCTGGCGGCTGCGGCCATCGCAGCTGCCTGGGAATATAGCGACTTGCCGTACAGCGCGTGCAGGGCGAGATCGGCCATTTTAGAAGTGTCTTCGAACCGGTAGAGATGATACGGAAACGGAGACAACAGAGGCAGTTTCAATTCTGAACCGTGGTCCAGGAGAGGCGGAGGAGGCGGAAGAAGACCGCGAGTACCGTCGACTGAAAACGAACCGAATTTTACTTCCTTCTTCTGCACCATCGGCTTGGGCTTTCTTCTAGGTCTGTACTTGTAATCCGGATGCTCTTTCATATGAAGCGCTCTGAAACAGAAATTTTATCGATTTTATTACACAATTCTCTGCCTCTTAATCAAAAACCGTGACGAAATGCAAAACCATTTGCCAGAAGAAAAAAATTTAACCCTTCACCAAAACAATTCTGATTGTCAATTTTACGGATTAAAAAAAAAAAGACACCTACTTCTCTACCCTCTTTCTAAGTCCTGTCATGTGTTTCCCCCCGCGTATCTTATATTACGGATAGGTTTAGTCTTAATGAAAATAAGATCGAGACGTATTGAACAGGATTTGTAATATATCGAAATAAAAGAAATAAAAACACAAACAAACAATTATATTTACTGAATACAACCCCACAAACATATTGGCAAATCTTTGATACACCCAAAAAATGCAAAATTTATAAGAAATACCCTCACCAAACCTATGGAACCTGACCGCAAATCTGCCGAAGCTGGTGCAAAGGCCTGAGCCAACTTAGTTATTCTTAATTAAAATTAGGGGGTACGGGCCTACTCAGGCTTTTAACCCCTCGGGTCCTGGTCGCCCGCCCTGTGTAATATATATAATTAAAATTAACAAATCGTAACATCTTACGATAGCGAAATTATCCATATTTCTATATGTTGATCACTGCCACCGTTTTTCTAATTATTATTTTTATTTTTAGAGATTAAAAAAAGCATTCTTCAATTGTTGCAAACATTGGTAAACGTCTTAAATGTTTTCAAGTAATATTTGGATGTATTTGGTAAAAGGGAAAAACACGACACAAGAAATAAATACAAAACCAAAATTTGAATATTCGATCTAATTATAAATCAGCTTTCAATTATAACTGTGTAATAAAAATGCTTAAAACTATGGCCTCTGATCAGTACAATTGATGTCATGTTTCCAGTTTGTAGGTCGTTGATAGGTCAAAATTTCCTATTAATATTTTTTCTTTTTGAATTTTTGTACTTTTATGTGTTATTGGATAATGTACTCAAAAGATCCATTATGCTATCAAAATAACTAAACTGCACGTCGAGTTGTACTCTCAGAAATGCCCTGATCGCCTCAGAGTAAACGAAAAAAACGTTTATTCTTGTAGCATGCAATATGAGGAGATACGGATCAGTTTCTGTTCAATCATCATAAAACCGGCTGGGTAATTTCGACGAGGAGCTGAATATTTTACTGTATTTTCGCGAAATTCCGAATTCCTCTCTCCGAAATGTTGGAAGGGTTTTGGGTTTTTCAAAAAATGAAATTATAGATATACTCCGGACTTACAATTTTAAGCCGTATAGCTCTCAACTTGTCCACGGACTTCAGAACTCTGATTATGACAGCTGTCTAACGCTCCTTGCACAAATGTCGATTTGTGAGGCTGGAGAAAACGTTATTCCATACATCCTATGAACTGATGGATCCAAGTTCACATACCTAGTCCTAATGGCTTACTAAACCTTTGAAAGTTTCGAACGTGGGAATACAAAAATCCGAGAATTTCGAGAAGCTTTTTGCCATAACTGTTGTCATTTTTTTACCAATTTAAATTGCACCATTGTTTTCAGCGTCAAAATCCTTTAAAATGATGTGTTAGGGTTGTATTTGAAGTTTTGAAGTTGAATTGGGCCTGAAGTACCCTGTATAATTTTTCTCCAAATAACGGTTTTCTCCAAAAATTTGAAAATGAAATTGAATATTAAAACGTATTAAAACGAGTAAAAAACATTAAACACTTTTTTATTATTTTTTTAATTCACTAATTGCGTGGTCCGCTTGACCAATTAATATATTACAATTAATTAAGGTTTTAGTTGAGATAAAAAAGTCAATGACACGTGCGAGATTCGAACCCACGATCTTCGGCTAGATACGCCGCTGCTCTACCACTTGAGCTATCGCGACCTCGATCCACTGCGACACTAACTTCCCATCTCAACCGCATCTTTTGAATTTTCCCTCCTTTTTTTAAAATTAATTGTAATATATTAATTGGTCAATTCGGCGTGTCTAGCCAAAGCTCATGGGTTCGAATCCCGCTCGTGCCATTGACTTTTTTATCTCAACTAAAAACCTTAATTAATTGTAATTTTTTAAAATTTAATTGTTTTTAATGGCGTCATTGGTTCAAGAAAAAAATGGTTCAGTCTATTCTCGCAGTTTTACGTCTCATTCATTTGCGTTTCGGTTTCCTCTATCATCAGTGAGGAGCTTAGAAAGTTTCTCACTGAACCTAGCGTGACCCAGAAAACTGTTAAGCGCCGATTAGTTCACGTGTTGAATCTGTTCGCTGACTAGCCAACAAGTTTGTTTAAAAAAATAAATCAAAGGGCATGATCTAAACAATGTTTATACCAGATTAATCGTAGAGGATCATGTTTTAACTTGGTTTCTCAACAATATCTCTCAATTAAACTATATTTTTATCTGATTACCTTATCGAAAAAACGAAAAAATCGGAAAATTATATTAGAGAACAAAACACGTAATAAACGGGAGAAAAAACACGGTTTGATCGTATAAAAAGCGACAAACGAAATATCGAGTTGACATATCTACACTTACTGTGGTAACAATTTGATTTCCTTCAATTATAAAAATTTTTGATAAAAAATACTCGATTTCATAGTACATACTATAAATATAAACCTCAAAACCAACTTAAAATAAGCATCGAATCCAGGAGATCAAGCACTATCCTTTGTGTACTACGCTAGAAAAATGAATACATAATAGGATAGAAAAATATATTCCAAGAAAAATCATATTCCTGTACAAGATGCGAAACAAGGCGAAAAGTTAATTTTACTGCAATTTTGATTGAAATCGTTTATGATTTCATGAAGAATTGTTTTTATTATGTTCAGTAAATGCCAGTTTGTTTTCCCTTCTGTTTGATTTTTGATCTGGTGAAGGGAAAGCAGTAACTTATGATTTTTCCTTTTCGAAGGTCGGATAATAGGTCATCTCAAAAAAACTTTTTTTTTTTTTTTTTTTTTTTTTTTTATTTATTTTTTATTCTGTTTTTTTTTTTTTTTTTTTTTTTTTTTTTTTTTTTGATGAGCTATTATCCCACGTTCGAGAAGGAAACATCATAAGTTAACCTGTTGAGGTCGAAATATAAGGAAAGCAATAAAATAGATAATTTATACATCGCAGGATAACTTTAGAGTGACTTTAGGGGTACTTTTGTTCTTAATAAATTGGTACATTTCATTTGGAGGTGGTAATCATCAACATCGGCCAGGGCCGCAGTGTCCGAAAAGTTTTAAAGAAATGATTACAATGTTAGATCTATATGTCAGTTGAAAAGACAATATCGGAGAGTATCGGAGTTGAACCGAAGCTGAATGCCAGGAAGATAAGGACACAAAGAGTGGACCCTCTTGACAGGAGACATGATCCCTCTTGTTTCGACCTGAAGTAACTCGTCCTAAACTCATTGTTTCTTTTCAAACAGGCGCACGTCATTCAGCCTGCGATGGCGGCGAATCTAATCAAAAAGGCCCACGTTACGTCCACGAACTTGTTTTATTTATATATTTTCCGGAGGTGATGCGTTATCTGAAGAAGTGAAAAGTGTTTAGAATTTCATATTTTATCAAAAAGCTTTTCTATTGAAAATTACGACGCTTAACGCCCTTTCACAATCTTTAATGGCCAGACGTATCGACTAGCAGTAAATAGTATTTAAGTAGCTTTGTGCGTAAGATAGTGGACCCATCCCAGTAGATCAATGTAAGCGTACAATAGACGGTATCGATACGGTATCAATAGAGGCATTCATGTTTGACTATCGCGCCGCTCCCTTTAGTACACATTTTTACAAGTATCATTTTACGCAATAGCACGAAAGATAACACTCAGGAAGAAGAGTTATTAGCGAGTCGGCTGCTATTGTCGCCTATTCAGGAAGCCACTACTTCTATTACCGCTTTTTTGTTATTTCCTAGGGTTATCGAACATGACGAGTCTTCGTCTTTGACGTTTAATTGACGGACCATTGAAAATGGTTAGACTGTTCCAGATCACCTCATGAAAGATAATCCAGACATGACAGTATATCAAAGGTGTTAAAATTCGTAATAAAGTAGGAGTTCTGATGGATGGGATGATTTGACGGACTTCACAAGAGGCCGTCACTTTTACCATAGGTATTTTGGTATTAAGATAAAATAAAAAATGATATAATCTTTGACGGGGATAATTTTGAATGTTAAATGGATTGATTGATAAGCTATTACAAAAAGCATTAGTCAGAGAGTGAGGGCTTTTCACTAAACAACACATTAGTTAATTTATTTTAAAAAAATTATTATTAAATATATTAAACTATTACAATAGTACGTATTCGAACATAAATTGCTTTTGTAAAAACTCATTTTTTTAATCGACACTGGTCACTTTACCGGGTCGGTATATTCTCACTGGTTTACTGTCAACTGAAACGTATATGTCACTAAAATTCTGTGAAGCGAAAAACCGTTTGTGTGAATACATAAACCAAAAAGAAAAAACCTCGCTTATTATGCTCTAAGAGAAAATCTCTCTCAAGAGCAACGGCTCCTTAAAACAAAACACAAATTTTAAAAAACTTCTATATTACTGAATAGAGTAATAATTGTAAAATTAAATTCACTGGTTTTCGTGGTCCGCTCGACCAATTAATTAAGGTTTTTAGTTGAGATAAAAAGTCAGTGTCACGAGCGGGATTCGAACCCAAGATCTTCGGCTAGATACACCGCTCTCTTCCACTTGAGCTGTCGTGACTTTGATCCACTCAACCCCACCTTTTGAATTTTCTCTGCTTTTTACCATTTTTCAAATGCCGAGTGATCATTTGATTCTCGGCGACAAATGAGTTCAAGTGGTAGAACAGCGGCGTATCTAGCCGAAGATCGTGGGTTCGAATCCCGCTCGAGACGCTGACTTTTTTATCTCAACTAAAAACTTAATTAATTGGTCGAGCGGACCACGAAAACCAGAGAATTTAATTTTACAATTTTTACTCTATCTCTAAAAACCTT